TTATATACTGTTTAATCATTTTTAATCCTTTCCCCTCACAATGCAGAGTCAACAACTGTTGGAATTTTTGGTGGTAAGAAGAAAGGGTTTCGAGTGAGGATTTGGAGGAGGAGAGAAATTCCGTGGAGTTACCTCACTTGGTCCCTTTTTTTTTTTTTTTTTAACTCATCTTCTGCCATTATATAATAGAAATCTCTTAATATATCAACAATAATTTTCTCATCTAATATTACTTAATACAAAAAAATCTACCAAACGTTTAATGCAAGATTATATTAAAAGATTTGCTTCCATTTGTGCGGCTCCATGTTGCTGTGAGCCTGTAACTTTGCAGCCTTTCATTTGAATTTGCATTTGCATTTGCATTTAATTTGTTGTTCATTACAGCCTCATTTCATCAACATTTGCAGTTTAGCTTGCTGCACTTTTCTGCTACCATGCTGTTGGTGCAGCTCTTCCTTCTATTCATTTGCTGCCACTTGTGCGGCTTTGACACCACAACTCGAACAACAATCACCATCCATTCCCCCGGCCATCCACTTCAAGCCCCCAGCTCTCTCCAGGACTCAACCTCAGTGTCATGATGTGAAACTGGTTGAAGAACTCCAGAAGCTTAATCCCTTGGAGGTAATGTTCAAAAATGCCTTATAACTTTATTTAAGTGGAATGAGGGAAAAAAGAATTAATATGACATATATTGGTTGCTCATTTGGCATCTCCCTCTCCTCACAATGCAGATCTAGCAACCACACCCTGAACTGCTACATAGGCGCGGTCTACATAGGGTCAACTACTCTTTCTCTCCTTTGTTCTATTTCAACTAAACCCATTTGATTGAATCTCTTTTGTTTTTGAACAGCAGACTAACTCTTGGAGCTGAGACTCTAGCGTCTGAGAGTTGGATTTCGTACATCCTTTAACTATACTAATTCCACCAGTTCTTGCATTCAGTATTACATCGTCATCCACACATATTGGAAAAGCTTTTCCTTCAATGCTGGCGAGAGGTGACTCATTAAAATTGTCACAATGGGAATAGAGGGACCCAAATATGTATTCTCAAAAATACTTCACCCCATCCTTACAATTTCAGAGAACACAAATGACTTTGTTTTCTGCAACTATACTATACTATACTATACTATACTATATATATATATATTGTGTTTTCGTTTCTTCGGCTATGTACAAAATGACATGGTAGATGATAAGAGAAGAATGAGAAAATAGGGAATAGAATATCTCTTTTGAATCAGAAACAAAACATGACAATATGAGATGACAGATTTTATTATTATTAGTATTATAATTTAAAAGAGCTATGTTTGTTCTTTGTATTTTCAAATTCAAGAACAAGAATTACTTAAAATGAAAATCTAAACATAGAAGGGAGTCATCAATAATTTGTTAGTTCAAATAAAAAGAATTCAATTTTTTTAAAATAAAATTTTGAATTTAAATATTGTAAATAAAAAAATAAATGTTGAGAGAACTTCCTTTATAAGATCTGATACGACTTACGACTTGATTCTAAATTAATCGAAATCCAATGTGATTTCTGAATACTGAGAGGATAGTATAAAAATAAAAAATAAATTCCATAAGAACTCAAATGCGTATTCTCTTTGGGAGCCTGTATCTATCATGAGGGCGTTGAGTGGCATCTTCAATGCAAATAACGGGATTCTCATCTGTTCCAGAACCTGAGAAGCCCTCTCTAAAAGATGGGAGGTGAATTTTCACCAAACTAAAGGGCTCATATGCACGACAATGGCTTCTTTGTCAATGCCTGAACATACTCTTTTCACACAGAACCTTATCTAAAAATATAAATTTATAATTCTTAAGTAATTTTAATTAATTTTTTATATATATTTTTACTCATTTTAATAATATTTTATATATTTTTGAGATAGTAAAAAATAAAAAAACATACAGCTACAAATAAACAAAGCCTAATATATATCATAAACATAGAGAAAAAAGGAGGTAGATTTTAAGAGTTCCCATTTATAAACCATATAGAGCAAAAGAGTACCTATATTAACTTGAAACTGGCAACTACTAGCAGTCTTAAACTAAAACTACTTATTCTTGAAGCCTTGGCTTGTGATACTCACCTATAAGAGGTTTCTCTTTTTTGGTCTCTAGCTCCATAATGGATTCCCAGACTGACATTACCTGCCTGAAGACTCTAAGATTGTGCAGGTGGAATGGTGTCGTTCACATTGCAGTCCATGCAGCTGCTGTTGACATCAATTGTAGAACTGAAATCTTGGGATTCAACCATCTTTGCACCTATAGAGTCATTGGTAGCGGGCTTGGCTTCAGAAGAAATATGATCTGCCCCAATCATTGGTGGTAAGGTGGTCATAGGTGCTGAATAAGTTCCTGCCTTCATAGTCCGAGCAGCATCAGTTAAAGGGAATCCATTAACATGGGATGTGTAATCTGCATGTATGACCTTCGTAATCTCCAGCTGGGTATCTTGTAACTGGTCTTGCCTTGGAGACGCCTGTTTTTCCATCAACATGTCGAGTCCAGTTGATGCACAAACCTGAGATTCAGGTTCAGTAAATCCAGGAATTTGGTTGAGCTCTAAGTTTGAACCCTTTGCATTATCACTCACCAATGCATCTGACTTAAGGTCAGAACTCACAGTTTGGTGCTCAACTTCAGGCTCATGACTAGAGGCTTCACGACCCGGCAAGATATCATTAACTGGAATAGATGGCAGCCCCACTTCTTCAGGTAGCTCCACATCAATATTGGGTCCTTTTCCCTGTTTAATGGTTTCAAATCCTTGCAGCAGCAACTGATTCTGTCCAATTGTTACATCCTTCTCCAACAAAGTCTCCAAGGTTTTCTGTCCAGAGACCTTTTCTCCCAGGTAAAGACCTGCATCAAATGCTTGGACTGCCTGATTCTGTCCAACAGCCTTATCCATCTCTGATGCTGATTCTACAATTTTTTGTTCCAAGGCCTTTTCTCCCAAGGAAAGACCTGTGTCAAATCCGTGAATTACCTGAACCTGTCCAACAGCCTTACCCTCCTCCGATTCTGATTCTAGAATTTTTCGTTTGGAGACCTTTTCTCCCAGGGAAAGATCTGTGTCAAACACTGGCAGTACCTGATCCTGGACAACAGCCTTATCCTCCTCTGATGCTGATTCTACAATTTTTTGTTCAGAGACCTTTTCTCCCAGGGAAAGACCTGTGTCAAATACTGGCAGGACTTGATCCTGTGCAACAGCCTTATCCTTCTCCAGAGCAGATTCCACAGTTTTTTGTTCCAAAACATTTTCCCCTGGGGAAAGACCAGTGCTGAATCCTTGTGGCACCTGATCCTGCCCAACAGCCTTATCCTTCTCCAATATGGATTCAACAGTTTTTTGTTCTGAAACCTTCTCTCCCAGTGAAAGATCTGTGTAGCTTGCTGGCAAGATACCTGGAGGAGGTATCTTAACAGTAGAAGGTTGGTTCTCACCTGCAACCAAAGCAACTGAGATGCCAGACAGAAACTCAGTTGGTTGAACTTGGCCTACAAGTTTAGGTGAATCATTTCTAAGCTCAACAGGGTTCTTATCACTTTTCTCTGTCAAAGGACCAGCAGCATGACGCGGGCTTTGGGGGTTTAGAAATGGGATTGGAATCTCTTTTCTTTGGTACATCTTAACATGTGGAGCCACATCATTTGCAGCTGTAATTGGAATAAATCGCCCAGGTAGAAAGACAACACCTCTCAGAAAAGTATCAGTGTCAGCAACCTTAACATTAAGAAGATAGCCAGCATCAAATGAACCCTCAATGACACCAGAAACCACCTGACCTACCATGCCATCACTGGGTGCATTACTTGTACCCAAACTCTGCCTGTTTTTCTTTGTACCGTCTGATGTGGACATTGCAGGTATGTTAGTGTTCTCACCTTGCACCAGACCCTCATCCTTGCGAGGACGGCCACGTTTCCGCCTTGTTGGGAGCTCTGCTGGAGAAGAGGGGCCAGGTCCTTGACTCTGGTGGCTCATACTGTAGATATCAATGCAAACCTCCTCCTACTTTTCTATTTGATTTTCTTTTGCACAAGTGAGGCTGACAACAGAAAAACAAAAATAATTATAGCTATTAACAATAACTGATCAGTGATATTCTTACCTATGTCATCATGCTACTATTATAATAAATTATGACCAGAACCATCAATTCCACACCAAACAGTTCTTAGAGTAGGCTGACTTTATGTGGACATGGCTTTCCACATGTGACGTAAGAGGATCTAGGATTGTTTTAGTCTATCCTAGTTTATCACAGTTTGATGAAATGCTTACCACCAAACACAGAATGTAATAACAAGCACTTTTCCATGTTAAAGTGAGAATCGAACTGATCATCTTTCATTGAGGTAGCTCACTTAATTCAATATTTTAAAACTAAGTTCAAGAAACAGGAAAAAAAGTTAAAATGGTAAACAACAAAATTATTAGCTGAAAAAAACTAAAGAGAGAAGACCTAAAACTACAAAGTCTGGCCACCAGCTAAGGTGACAAATAAAAAAAATTTCTTCATTAATCTCCCATTAATCTGCTAGACTACAACGATATCAAACAACAAATCTAGGGTAGCAGCAATTAAGTAAATATTAATTGATTATTCTATTTTAGTTAGATATAAGTGAAGCTAAGACAAGGTATCAAATATATATGAGCCTAGTGGATCCACAAATCTGCAACCTTGGTTAAATCAGCATGATCTCGTCTGAAAACTAAGACCAGGCTTGTGCAACTAGCTCACATAGAAATTGTGCA